ATTGACTAACTTGACATGACCTGTTCTTGGGAGAAGACAGACATCTGACTAAAGATATTCAATCAACTTGACATGACCTGTACTTGGGAGATGACAGACATCTGACTAAAGATATTCAATCAACTTGACATGACCTGTACTTGGAAGATGACAGACATCTGACTAACTTGACATGACCTGTACTTGGGAGATGACAGACATCTGACTAACTTAATATGACCTGTACTTGGGAGATGACAGACATTGACTAACTTGACATGACCTGTTCTTGGGAGAAGACAGACATCTGACTAAAGATATTCAATCAACTTGACATGAACTGTACTTGGAAGATGACAGACATCTGACTAACTTGATATGACCTGTACTTGGGAGATGACAGACATCTGACTAACTTGACATGACCTGTAGGGATGAGATGACAAACAAACCATTCTTTCATCTCATACAACAATTTTCAATAATACAGTGGTTATTCTTTCACCACCAGACAGTTGATATTTTCTTCAACTGGAAAAGTTATTATGAAAGAAAAATAAACTGTTTCCCGTTGAACACAAATCACATATTTATCTAAATAATCTCATGTAGTAAAACGGAATATGTTAGTCTTCAAACAAAATTAAATCTTTATCATTGCTAATTAATAGCACCATCTGGTGGGATGTAACCAAATTTTTCTGCACATTACAATACTTATACAGGAATACATTTCTTCTCTGCGTTATATATCCGAAATCTTTTTACATTAAACCAACAATAAGTAAACCAATTTTAGAGAATGGGCTATTTATTATGAGACTAGGTTCTAACCTGAACGAAACTTATATTTTTTATTGATTACATCTGTTCATGCACCATTCGATGACATCGTTATAATTTACAAGAGGTACACATATCGGATTTAAAACGCCAAGAGGTCGAACTTGATGCTTAAGGAAAACAAATTTCGTTATTCAGTCCGCATTTTAAACGTACTCAGCGGTGCTTCCATCTAGTGAGTATACCTTTAAACTGTAATTAAACAAGTAATTATTGTGTAATGCCCAGAAACGAAACAATTTTGATAAATGATTTTCCGCACCAACTTCTACATTTATATTTCACGTATTTTGAGTTATATCATCTGTTTTGTCATATTTATTCGGGAGGGAGATAGATATACACGAACGTATGTTAATGTATGTGAACTATTATATTATACTTTGTAAGGAACTTTACAATCTTTTGAAATTTTTAAACAAGTTGTCTTTCACAGTATTCGATCGTCATGGACTTAGGAATAGCATCTGAAATTGGTATCAAAAGGTACAAAATTGGAAGAGAGGTGTATTAAAAAGTACTTAGAGGTGTTGTGAATGGTATTTAGGTTTTATAAATTTATTGTACAGCATAAGTTGTAATACTGTTCAATAAAAAAGTTGTATCTGGGAAAATCAATTGTTTTGTACTTCAAACTGGTCCCACGATCAACACTTCATAATGTAATGTAAAACTACAACAGTTTCAAACAGCAGAAACTGGTCCCACGATCAACACTTCATAGTTTAGTTTAAAACTAGATCAGCTTCAAACACCAAAAACTGGTTTCGTGATCACACACTTCATAATTTACTTTAAAACTACAACAGTTTCAAACACGAGAAACTGGTCCCACGATCAACACTTCATAATGTAATGTAAAACTACAACAGTTTCAAACAGCAGAAACTGGTCCCACGATCAACACTTCATAGTTTAGTTTAAAACTAGATCAGCTTCAAACACCAAAAACTGGTTTCGTGATCACACACTTCATAATTTAGTTTAGAACTACTACAGTTTCGAACACCAAAAACTGGTTTCGTGATCACACACTTCATAATTTAGTTTAGAACTACTAC